CCCCTCCCCTTTATAAGTATTTGTTTATTCTATTTTTGTTACAGAACATTTTTCAAAGGAGATGAAACAATAACCCCTTAATGGTGGTTACAATAGTGAATAAGGAAATGCCATTATGGATATTTTCTAGTCTGTTATGCCTGTGAAAGAACCCTCCTATCGAAATGTCCTAGTCGATAGGCAGCTGGCCGAGTATGCTGATTCTTTCTTAGTGGTACTTATTTAGTTGGAAAATATCTTTGAGTGTTTATGGACTTTTCTTTATACATAAATCGGAGGCTGCCGTTTGGAGAATTCTCCATCCTGAATTAGAAATCTAATTATCATCATTAAACAGCATCAAGTATATCAATATTTCCTGCAGACCTCTGAGTTCTTAGTTGCCTAGTTGACGTTTAGTACGGAAAAACATCAATCAGTTGCAAAATGGGCAAATACTCTGAAGATGCGGTTGAACCACCGCAAACTAATTTTTCTTATTATTACGAGAAAACCGGGATCTTTACACAAATAGTCGGCCATATTTATTGTTTAATTTTTCTAATTATATACATTGATTACACATAGTTCTACATATATAGTACATAAATTATCCATATATTATACTTCCACCGACTAGTTTTAGTTTAAGTGGTTGGGTGGACGACTATTTGGGTTAATTCTTCTTTCTTAAATCAGAATTGTCTATAAAAGGAAAAGATTGTAATTTGATATTGTTGAGTAGTCCAATTTCTCTCTTGTACGATGCGTTAACCACATCAAGTCCAAGTCTTTTCATTTCCTTAATTGGTTATTTACGTCTGTTTACTTCTTCATTTTCACTTCTTTTGAGCCGAGGGTCTTTCGGAAACAGTCTCCCTATCTTCGTTAGGTAGGAGTAGGAGTGGCAAACGGTCGGGTCGGGTCGGAAATGGTTCGGGTTAAAACGGGTAATGAAAAATGGACCAATTATCCGACCCGAACCATATATAATACGGATAAAAGACGGGTTAACCGACGGATAATATAGGTAATCATATTATCCATGAATTCTTGCATATGATCACTTTTGAGAGAATTCTTAGTATCCCTAATTTGAGATTTTACAAATGTAAAAGTTAGACTCATTGGTTATCCATTGGTTACTCATTGGTTATCCATTTTCTAAATGGATAATATGGTTCTTAGCCATATTTGACACATTTTAAAAAAATTCATTATCCAACTCATTTTTTAGTAGATAATATGGGTGGTTAACTGTTTTCTTTTAACCATTTTGTCACCCCTAGGTAGGGGTAAGGTCTGCATACACCTCAGACCCCACTTGTGGAATTTCACTGGACTTGTTGTTGTTAATTGGTTATTTACCTATCCTCTCTGAGATTTTTATGCTTATAACAGTTGCTAGATGCAACTCATTAAATGTCTGTTATTTTGAATTTCGAAAGGTAGTAGTTCCTAATCACGTTTACGTTGTCATGCAGGAGGAACAAGGCGATGAGGTCTACCATGACAAGCAATTTAAAAGCAGAAGATGGTACTTCCCAACCCATAATTTCACTCTTTCTGTTGTCTGGTCGCCTTTTCTTGCAAAATCCACTATTTTTGAAGATGACGATGGAGTTTCCACGGACATAATCCAGCTTCATCTTGACAAACTGGATGATGATTGGACTCGACAATTTGACAGTTTTGATTATGTAGTTATTGCTGGTGGCAAGTGGTACCTGAAATCTACAATTTACTATGAGAACGATAAGATTGTTGGCTGCCACTACTGCCCTGGTAAGAACATTACAGAGGTGGGATTTGACTATGCATATCGCAAAGCAATGAATTCGACTATGAAATTCATCACAAGCTCAAAGAACAAGGCGTATACATTTTTTAGAACGACTACCCCCGATCACTTTGAGAATGGTGAATGGAATACGGGAGGTTATTGTAATAGAACAGGACCCTTCAAACAAGATGAGGTTGACATTGGTTATGTAGATGAGGTGATGCGCAAAATTGAATTAGAAGAATTCGAGAGTATATCGAGAACAGAATCTGCAGACAGGTTGACAATGAAATTGTTCGATACCACTTTCCTTTCGCTGCTGAGACCAGATGGGCACCCTGGAGTCTACAGGCAATATCAGCCATTTGCTAAAGAAAATATGAACAAAAAGATTCAGAATGATTGTCTACATTGGTGCTTGCCCGGCCCAATAGATTCGTGGAACGATGTAATGATGGAAATGTTGTTCACCAGTTGAAAATGGTGTGACATTAGATTTTGATTTTGCTCCCACAATTGTAATTGTTCATCTGCAAAAGATGGTTGCACACTATTTTTCACCATTGTTTCCTCTCCAAGTAAATATTTTAACCCCCAAAGCTTCAGATTGTGCATAGTGACTACTGCTAAGAATCCATGTACAAGGAACTTGCAACCATTGGAAGATGCTTATAACAAAATCCACACTGTTGGCTCAATATTACTATCATCCCCTGGAAAAATACACAGCATAGTTGATCCCAGAAATAGTAGCCGACAAAATGTATATATTTTGTATATTAATGTATAATATACATATATTTTGGTATATTTTGCTAGCAAAGGTAATTATTTTGGGCCAACCGGACAAATGTTTAACTTGCCCATTATATTCCTTTTCAGAAATATGTAAAAGGATCATGAATTATGGTTCTTTCTGGACTTAAACTCTGGAATATTTTCGTAAAAATTTGCACGGGGCGCCCCCATTTAACATATACCCATTTTTTAAAAAACTTTTAACTTGTACCCATTTTTTAAATAATTTCAGCCATTTTCTCCTCCTCCTTCTCCTCCTTTGTTTTCTTCTTCAAGTTACAAAACAAATTGGTATTTATCTCCAGCAGCAGCGCTGCTTTAGTTATAAGGTCAATTTTTTTTTATTGAACAGTTCGGCAATTGTACTTCTGCTCCAAATTTACAGCAAATTAGTCTTAGGAAAAAGTTTAAGTTACCAGTAGGGTTTGTTTTGGATTGCTTACTGTTGGAAAACGTTTTTGTAAGGCCAATTGTTTGTGTGCCATTTGGAAATATATATATTTCTTGGTATGATTTTTGTGCAGTATATATTCATACGCCTCTCTACTTATTTTTGTTTGTTTGGGCACCGTTATTCCTTCTTTTGTCTTAAAGGACATATATCGAGCATCTTGTGACTTTCATAAAAACATAACTTGCTCATTCTAGTCCACTTCAGCTAACAGCCACTAGCTACAACTAAGGCAAAACAACAAAAATACAGCTAAAAAATTATAATTGACAAATACAGCAAATTAACAAAAACTTCAGCTCTAGAGCTGAAGTTTCCAGTTACAATACAAAAATTTCAGCTCTAAAGCTGAAGTTCACCAGTTACAAAATAAAAACTTCAGCTCTAGAGCTGAACTTCAGGCCCGGCTACTAGAATGCTGAAGTTTTGCGTGATTGCCTTTACTACTTCAACCCCGTGTGCTGAAGTTATGCGAAAAAACAGGTACGCTTGTAATGTTTTTTGCAAAGCGGACACAAGTTAAAATGTGACACAAAAAACGGGTATAGATGCAAATGTCCCAATATTTTCCTAGGCTTGGCCCAAAAATATAACCTAGCCCCAAGAAGGTCTGGCCACGTACTCGAGTTAACTTCTCACTATTTTCGACTCTATTTTCTTTTGTTGTTTTCCTCAAATTTATAATTGTCTTAAATCCATTGATTACAAATTTAGGTAATGCTTCACCATTAGATATGTACATCGTATTCATGTAAAAAGGAAATAATTAATGAAGTGGCTAAAGTGAAAAAGTTTTTTCCCTCTTTCAAGTAAAAGTACTCCAATTAGATGATATAGGTGTCAAACAATCACATGGTCATAATGACTGGAAGCTTGTTTAAATCAATGAGATGTTGATGATTCAATTGAAAAGGAAAGACTTGTATTTTTTTTCTTTCTAAGATGACCAAAAGTGGTATCAATTTTTCTTTAAATAATGAAGCAGAAAATGAAAAGTTTCAATTTATTCTAAATTAGAAATATAAATACCTTTACTTTAATAATTCCTTACAATTTGAATAATTACTATTTGAAGGAGTATGAAATAGGTCATATCTCTCACATCGTTATTGTGAGTTTGTGACAATTTGAAATGGGACCCGAAGTCACGGAAGACAAAAGCAAAATCCTCTTATTCCAAAGTTTATGGGGTTAATTTATTTATGAAGAGATCTTTACATAAATAGTAGATTAGATTTATTATTTATTTTCTTAACTAGTATATATAGTAATATTGTGACGATCCCAAACCGATCCGGTTGTGATGACACCTATCGTGAAACAAGGCCAGCCGACACAACTCCTGAATCAACCATTTAAAAACAATAATTCTTATAATGAAATTTTTAAAGAAAAGTGCGGACTAAATACACAAGCCCGACATCGGGGTATCACTAGTCATGAGCATCTACCAAGGTCCGAATACAAAAAGAATCTAAAAATGTACTAAATACAGTAATGAAAATGAGGGAAGGAAAGTAGTGCTGTGAATGTCGTGCAGCCACCTTGCTAACTCCGATGACTCCGCCTTTGAGCAATCAACACCCGCTACCGGATTTCGAAATACCTGAATCTGCATACGAGGTGCAGGGAGTAATGTGAGTACTCCAACCCAGTAAGTAATAAGAGTAAATAAAGACTGAGCAGTAAGAAAACGCGTCAACCACGTTATAGAACCACAGTGATTACAACCTGTTTCCAAGAGACGATACCACTCAAATGATTTCGTTAAACTCTCACTTCCGTAAAATCCTTTAAAAATTATCTTTATAACCTTTTCAATATAGATTTAATGAAATATATATATATANAGTAAGTAATAAGAGTAAATAAAGACTGAGCAGTAAGAAAACGCGTCAACCACGTTATAGAACCACAGTGATTACAACCTGTTTCCAAGAGACGATACCACTCAAATGATTTCGTTAAACTCTCACTTCCGTAAAATCCTTTAAAAATTATCTTTATAACCTTTTCAATATAGATTTAATGAAATATA